AGCCTGCCTCAGCCTCAGCCTGCGTCAGCCTCAGCCTCAGCCTCAGCCTCAGCCTGCCTCAGCCTCAGCCTGCCTCAGCGTCTGCCTCAGCATGCCTCAGCCTCAGCCTCAGCTTCAGCCTCAGCCTCAGCCTGCCTCAGCCTCAGCCTGCCTCAGCCTCAGCCTCAGCCTCAGCCTCAGCCTCAGCCTGCTTCAGCCTCAGCCTCAGTCTGCCTTCAGCCTCGGCCTCAGCTTCAGCCTGCCTCAGCCTCAGCCTGCGTCAGCCTCAGCTTCAGCCTCAGCCTCAGCCTCAGCCTCAGCCTGCCTCAGCCTCAGCCTGCCTCAGCCTCAGCCTCAGCCTGCCTCAGCCTCAGCATTCTCAGCCTCAGCATCAGCATTCAGAATGTGGCCCGGGAATGGAGTTCTGGGAACTCGAAGAGCACGAAGTGGCTTACAGTTGGTTCCGGGCATTCAAAATGTGGACTCGAAGAACACGAAGTGGCCTACAGTTGGCTCGGGGCATTCAAATGCGGCCCGGGAGTGAAGTTTTGTGAGCTCGAAGAGCACGAAGTGGCCTACATTTGGCTCCGGGCATTTAAAATGTGGCCCGGGAATGGAGTTTTGGGAATTCGAAGAGCACGAAATGGCCTACAGCTGGCTCCGGGCATTCAGAATGTGGCCGGGGAATGGAGTTCTGGGGGCTCGAAGAGCAGGAAGTGGCGCACAGTTGGCTCCGGGCATTCAAAGTGAGGCCCGGGATTGGAGTTCCTGGGACTCGACGACCACGAAGTGTGCAACTGTTTGCTTAAAACGAGCCCGGCCCTCGTCGGGTTCCGCCCGATCGGCTGCTCCCCGCATCCTGCCCGGACCCCCCTTGGGAGTCGAGATGCTTTCTTTTGACCCCATTAGAAACCTATCAGTCTTCGCTGTTAGGTAAAAAGAAGACGAAGACTAAGAGGAGGAGGAGGAGGAGGAGGAGGAGGAGGAGGAGGAGGAGAAGGTGGAGGAGCAGGAAGAGGACAAGGAGGATGAGGTGGAGACGAGGAGGAGCAGGAAGAGGAGGAGGGGGGGAGGGGGAGAGGGAGAGAAGGAGGAGGAGGAAGAGGAGGAGGAGGATGAGGAGGAGGAGGAGGAGGAGGAGGAGGCGAAGCATGACGTGGAGGGGTAGGAGGAGGAGGAGCAGGAGCAGGAGCAGGAGCAGGAGGAGCAGGAGGAACAGGAAGAGCAGGACGAGGAGGGCGAGGAGCAGGAGGAGCAGGAGGACGATGCGGAGGAGCACGTCTCGTGGCCCCATAGGGGGCTCCACCGAAGGTCCACGCGACAGCGCCCGCATGGTGCCGCCGCCAAATTTTGGCGCACCCCTCACACGCTGCGTGGCCCCATAGGGAGCCCCACCGAAGGCCCAAGCGGCAGCGTCCGCATGGAGCCGTTGCTTCAATTTCGGCACACCCCTCACGCGTTTCGCAGCCCCGTAGGGAGCCCCACCGAAGACCCAAGTGGCACTACCCGCCAGGCGGCGCCCCGCACGTTTCGCGCACGCCTCTCACGCACTGCATGGCCCTATAGGGAGCCTTCTCCTTCTTTCCACTTGCCATGCGGCAATCACACCTGCATATGTATGGTTGCGTCCTTCTCCAGGATGCTTGGTTCACGCTGGGCGATGTCTCTTGGTTTCGGGCTCCAGAACAATAACATATCGATCCGGCTCGAACATGGAGCAGAAAGTTGGGGTCTAGATCCCCAGTCGTGATTTTTCACAATGCTGCAAAGTTTTCGCAGCGTCGGATCTCAGTGGAGAAGGGGGGAGGCATGCGTCCTCCTCGTTCTTCTCTTTCCTCGTCCACCTCCTGCTCGGCCTTCCTCCCCTGATCATGCTCCTCCTCCTCCTCCTCCTCCTCCTCCTCCTCCTCCTCCTCCTCCTCCTCCTCCTCCCTGTCCTCCCTGTCCTCCCTGTCCTCCTCCTCCTCCTCCTGATCCTCCTCCTCGTCCTCCTCCTCCTCCTCCCCCTCCTCTTACCTCCGCCTCGTCATCCTCCGCCTTCTCCTCCTCCTCATCATCCTCCTCCTCTTCCTTCCTCCTTCTCTTCTAATTCCCCCTCCCCCCGTGGTTTTCCTGACAGCTGCAGGACAATCCTCACCAGCAGCAGCAGCAGCAGCAGCAGCAGCAGCAGCAGTAGCAGCAGCGTGGCAGCAGCAGCAGCCGCAGCAGCCGCTGTAGCAGCAAAAGAAGAAGGACGTAAAGGAAAAAGGAGGCAGGAGGAAGAGGAGGAGGAGGAGGAGGAGGAGGAGGAGGAAGGCAAGAGCAGGAGGAGCAGCAGCAGCAGCAGCCGCAGCTGCAACACAGGGAGGGGCAAGAAGGGGTTGGCGGAGGGGAGGAGCATCCGCCAGTAAGGAGAGACACAGCCTTGCGGCCGAGAAAATGGCACTTTCTTGCGACTGGCGTCGGAAATGCGGCCCCCTCCCTTCTCCCCATCCCTCCCCCTCCTCCTCCTCCTCCTCCTCCTCCTCCCCCTCCTCCTCCTCCTCCTCCTCCTCCTCCTCCTCCTCCCTCCTCCTCCTCCTCCTCCTCCTCCTCCTCCTCCTCCCCCTCCTCGTTTGGCTCAAGTAAAACACCTAGGCTCAAGTAAAACATGTAGGATCATCGCCCGTAGTCTCTTTTGCCTTCGCTGTCTGTCGACGCATCGCCGCTGGGGAGCTTCACTCCCCAGCGTGCCTGGCGCCCGCAGGCAGGGCGGCCGACGTGTCCCAGGCTGCTTCAAGCGCACAGGCGGGGAGCGGCCGGCGACGCCGGGAGCGTGGCGGGGAGGAACATGGGGGGGGCGATGGAGGTGGATCTCAGTGCCCAGCCGGCATCTCAGTTTCGGGCAGCAGCATGGGCGGTCGACGTGCAAGGTGCCTCTGCACAAGCGGCTGCCTGCAGGTCCTGTGGCCTGGTCTTCGAGCCAGGCGAGCTCCGATTGTGCACATGGGGCAATCGGTCGTGTTCGCGATGCCGACCGGTGCGGAGCCCAGGCCAGATGGGAGAGGCGGTGCGACAAGCGTCGACGCTGCGCGAGCGCAGACAGCAGCACCCGTGGCCGCAGAAGGAGCAGGAGGGCTCGCTGGGAGCGTGATGGTGGCACAGCAGCACCAGCCCATCCAGCACCCGGCTTGGGATGCCAACGAGTTGCCTAGCCAAGATTGGTGGGAGGGACTCCAGGGGGACGACCTGCTAACCACCGGGGCCACTACGTACGTGCAGATTCCCGACAGGCCACGCGGGACGGTTGGAATTCCTCCAGCACGCACGGGGACGAGGGGGGGCGAGGGAAGAGTGGAAAGTTTCTTTGGTGCTGGACCTCCTCCTCCTCCTCCTCCTCTCCTCCTCCTCCTCCTCCTCCTCCGCCTCCTCCTCCTCCTCCTCCTCCTGAGCACCAGCAGCGAGGCCGCGACGTGCGCAGAGTTGCCGGGGGAGCGCCTCGCGTGGCTCTGGGGAGCCCAGTGGGACGCGCTGCGGACGTCTGTCCAGCGCGGGTGGAAGATCCCCCAGCGTCAGCCGCCAAAGACAGCAATCCGGCTGAATCACGGGCTTAATTTGGTTGAATCTGGTTCAATGGCCCCTTCGTCGTTCTGACGGAGGCCTCCCAGGAGTTGCTTCCTAACCCGCGGGGTTTCAAGCGTGCGCCACAAAAGGCTGCACCACACGTGCGGCGTACACACACACACACACACACACACACACACACACACACACACACACGCACACGCACACGCACACGCACACGCACACGCACACGCACACGCACACGCACACGCACACGCACACGCACACGCACACGCACACGCACACGCACGCACGCACGCACACGCACACAGACTGCGCCACACAGAACGCGCAGCGACAGCGCGCCACGAGAGCGCAAGGGCCCGCACGCCCCGGGGCCCCACGCCCGCGGGCATCTGCCCCCTCCCGATGGCGAGCCATTTTGGCTGCAGGGGCCGCTCCAGAGGGCGGGCCCGCCGGCCGCCCCGCCGCTGAGGGGCAAAGCTCGCCGAGCGCGCTCCACTGCTCGCAAAGCGCCCACTGGCAAACGTCCAGAAAAAAACACCTGTCTGCCTTGATGTATGGTGTCGCAGGTCCCCCGCGGGGGATCCAGGCCATTTGCGAGGAGTGACTTTGCGAGTAGTGGGTGGAAGGCGCTCGTCGAAAGGTGGAGAGGGGGGGCGCAGGTTCAGGGTGGGATGCGGCGGTGTTCAGGCGCTCTCGCGGGTTACTCGGCAGCTCTCCGGCGCCGGAGTGCCTGCTGCGCCTCGCCGAGGGATGTTCCCGAACGGCCTTCCGGAGGCCCGAGCGATGCCCTGGAAAGCACCACGGGCAACGTCTTGAAACAAGAAGGGGCGCCATGAAATATAGGGAGATCTCGTAGCCCCCGCCATGAGATCCACCCCCTCTTGGCCGCCCCCGATGTTACCCTCAGGGCCCGCCTCCCCCACGGCGAGCGGGCGCCCCACGAAGGGCCCCGCCGGAGGGCCGGCCAGCCCAGCGGGGGGATGGGCTCAGGCTTGGGCGCATCGACCCCCGATCGCCCAGTCATCGCCGACAGGAGCCCGATAGCCCAGGCCCCGCCCAGGGACGTGCGGCGTCGCCGTCGGGGGCATCTCGCCGATCCATCGGCGAGGCATCGTCGAGCCCAGGCCGCTGTGTCCCCCTATGAGCTGGTCCCCTGGGGGTGTTCGCGTGATACCTCGGGCCTCCACCGGCCTTTCGGGACGCTTCAGGCATCCCCAGAGCGCTCCGCCCGAGGCGCAGCCGCTGGAGGGCGTCCCGAGGCTGGAGAGCCGCCGAGGAACCGGCAGAACAGCGCCCGAGAGCTTCGAACCTCGAGCCGATCGCCACCCCTCCTCGACGTTCGCCGATCCTCCGCCGCCATCCGAGGGGGGAGGGGGGGGGTCGCCATGGGCGTCCCGCGCTGGGGCGCAGCAGCCTCGAGGGCCCTCTGGGCTCTCGCGGCCCTGGCGGCCCTGTCGGCGGCGGGCCACGAGGCCGCGGACGACGAGGCCTTCCTGAGGGCGGCGGAGGCCGAGCTGGAGGAGGCCGACGCCCTGTCCAGGCTGGCCAAGGGCGAGGCGAAGGATCCGAGGACCATGACGACGCGATAGATAACGACACGTTCCAGGGTACTTTTTTGGGGGGGTCCCGCGATCGCCCGAAGCAGCGGCCCCGCCCCCCCCACCGGATAATTAACCTGGCCTTATCGGTTGTGCATGTCCCGAGTGTGTTCGCAGTTTTGGTGCGCGCGGGCATACGCGGGTTTGCCCAAGGAGGAAAGGTGGTTAGATTATCGGCTGGCACCCGCACACATTAAAACGATGTCGAAAAACGATGTCGATCGTTAGGGTTTCTGACACCTCCTGATGTTGCGCACGGGCTGCAGAAACGAGCGCCGCCAGATCCTCCTCGTGTGCGAAAAGCATGTCCGTATCCGCGGCTTCGTGGGACGGGCCCCTGGGCCGCGACCCCGCGGATGCTGGGCGGTGTTTCGGAGATGCCCCGCGCTGAATGTATCCGTGCGACCACGTATCCACGGGGTCGCTCCCCCGGAGTCCAGACCGCGAGGGCGTGGATATGGTCATGTTCGCCGCTCGTATCGTCCGCAAGGAGGCCGAGAAGGTGGTGAGAAGAGCCGACAAGGCCGGCCGGCGCCGGGTGCCTGGCCGGGCTGGCGCCGAGGCTGCCAGCGCCGACGATAGCGCTCACCCCGCCAGCGGGGAGGACGACCCGACGCAGGCGTTGCTGAAGCAGCTGACCATCCAGAGGGCCAGACGGCCACACGAGCGCGGGCTCTCGCACATTCTCGGACGATAGCAGCGCCAGAGCCCGCGTTCCCGCACCCCCTGGGCCGCGCCTCCAGCACCATCCCCCCCATCCCCCCTTCGCGCATCTCTGGAGGGGGTGCGGAGATGGTTAGCGGCGCCGACGGAGCAATGGTCCGCGGACGGTCGAAGTGCTTGTTTCGTGTGATTCTCTGGTTCTCTGTTATCAGCATGGTGTCTGAGGTGGTGGACGGGCGCACCGTCCGCATCCGCGACTACTCGGCAAAGGCTGGCCCGAAGCTGCTGCGACTAGGCAACACCGCTGTCCCCGAGAGGGGCTCGCAGAGCGAGGCCGAGTATGAAGACAAGCTGGAGTCGAGCAGAGGCGCGCTGAGGCAGCTCTTGGGCAAGCAGATGATCCCCTAGCTTCGCAAGGTACACGTCCAGACTCGGAGTCTCGGAGTGAACATGCGGCGTAGTCTAGGGGAAGATTTGCTGAGTCATTCGTAGACCGCCCCGGGGGGCTCTATCAGAGTCTGGCGGGGCCATGTTCGAGGAAGGGGCGTCATGGAGCCCTCTTGGAGCAAGGTTTTCTTCAGGATGAGCCTGACAGGGGACAACTTGGGTTGCTTCTGAGGTCGTTATGGGGATGTCTGGGGCTCTCTCTCGGTGGCGCAGATCTGCAGAACTGTTGTGCAATCTGGCATTATGAAAGAAACGGGATTTGTCTTAAGCGCGCAGTGGTTCCAAAAACGTGTGTTGCAGGGATACGCTCCTGTACCTGACGCTCCTCCCTTTTGCCCGTTCATCCTCATCCTCCGCCTTCTCCTGCCCTGGGCCTACCCCTGGGCTTATCCCTAGGCCTCACCTAGGCCTACCCCTAGGCCCTAACCCTAGGTCTACCCTAGGTATACCCCTAGAGCTTACCCCTAGGCCAACCCTTGGACTACCCTTAGGGTCTACCCCTAGACCTACCCTGGGCCTACGTCTAGGGCCTACCCCTAGGCCTACCCCAAGGGCCTACTCGTAGGATCCTTGAACTCCGCCTGTTCGAATTCAATCAGATGTTGGCGTTTGCCGAGTCGAACCGACTCGATGCGGAGCGTTCGACTCGCGATTCCGCGGGCGTCGTCATCGTCTTCGCCGCCGCCGCCGCCGCCGCCGCCGCCGTCGTCGTCGTCGTCGTCGTCGTCGTCGTCGTCGTCGTCGTCGTCGGGTCTCGGCCCCCGAGGGGGATCGGCCTCTCACGTTGGGGCTCTCGCGTGCCAGTCGGACAGGCACCGACCTACACTTTGGGCGAGTGGATTAGCTTCTTGCGCGGATCCTCAAATTCCAAACTTACTTTTGCGACATCGTCTTACGTATTGGTTCGCCCGCCATTCGAGGGGTCTGATTGCGCTTGTCGGATTTTCCGGGGCCTCGACGTCGCTTGCCAGTGTCAGGGTGGAATCCAGACTTGCGTCTCACGAATGGATTGGAGGATGAGCGCAAGGTGAGTCTTTCACCTGCGGGGGGGCGCGGGCGTTTCCCGCCACGCAGTGGCCAGGGGCAACTGGGAAACGCTCCGGGAAATGGAGGGCGGCAGGTAAAGAGAGAACGGGGGGGGGAGGGCAAAGCAACGGGCGGGAATGGGCAACATAGTGACCAGGCGAGATGCTCTGATAGGAGGAGCGATGTGGGCGGAGGCCGCATTTGGAATTCCTTCGGATAGCCTTGGGACGTTTAGACGCCTCCGCCCAGAGGCCGGCAGGGGGTTCAGCGGCCCTTGCCTTCCTGATTCTGCGGGCGGGGCGCGACGACGCACCCGACCTGTACCCCGTCCCTTTCGCTAGGTGCCGGTCTGTACGTGCTCGCCCCGCGCGAGACATCCAGCGCGTTCAGAACTACACTTAGCCAGACACTAGGTGTAGTTCTGTACGTGCTGGTTTCGCCGGAGACATCCTCGCAAAACGGAGCACTTATCAGTTGAGCGGAAGATCGGGACAAATCGGAACCAGAGATTCTGGGAGAGTTCCAGAGAAAAATAGAACGCCGACTTGTGGAGCGTAGCGCGCACATTCGCAGAAGTTCCCAACAAAATGTTCGAGGGCTTGAGAAGCCCAAGTAACACTTGGGCGCTCAATTGAACTGTTGAGGGCGGGCAGAGAATCTGGTGTGCACGAGCATTGTGAGCGGGTGCGCGGCTTGCACGGGGGGCACAGTAGGTTTGCGTTTCAGGGACTTGGGCGCTGGCCAATGCGCTGCCAGGGGGCCCGAGAATGCGTCACATATATTACGCCTGTGGCGCCATGGAGGCCGCATTTGCGGTTGCAGTTGGGCGGGCGCCCCGCCGCGCGCACCGTGGCGACAGCTCTTTTGGGCGCCCTCCCGCCGCCGTGGACGTAGTGGACCGAGCTAGTCTCTCGGTCGGCGCGCGGCGTGTCGGCAGCCACGACGCTGGCGGCCTGAAAATGCTTCGAAAATGCTATAAGTCTTATAGAACTACACCTCGCCTGCAGGGCGGGGTGCACGTCGGGTGCCGCCACTCGCGCTCCCAACGCGTACCGCGCCCCAGCGGCTAAGTGCCGTTCTGTACGTGTCCCCTTTTCGCGAAGCATCGGTTGTGCGCGCTGCCCATCGCCGAGGCCCCGCCCCCTGGGCCGCTTCCCGCCGACATCCCACATCCCCTGGCTCAGCGAAGCCAGCCGTGCGCCTGGGGGCCTTGATTTCACGCAGCCCGCTTCCCTCTCCCGCTTGTGCCCCGGCAGCAAATCCGCGATCCAATCCCCCGCGCTTTCGAGTTCTTCTTCGTGCCCGATTTCCCGTCCGAGGGTGAAACGCTTGTTCGCGTTATGATGTGTTTTGCGGCTGCCGCCCAGCCTCGCCGTGAAACATGGTGATCGCTTCCACGCTCGGCGCACAACGTTGTCGGCGCGACCATCGCCTTCCATCGTAGGTCGTGAGGCGGTGTTTGTCCACCCAGACCGACCGACGCGCCAAATCTTATTGTGATTGCCACCCCTGGTCCCCGCAACAAGGTGCAGTTTTTCTGTGTGTAGTTGTAGATGTGTTCGAGCCAGTCGGACGACGTACCATATTTGAATCCATATGTCAATGTCCCGCCCGCCCGGCCCCACCCGCCCGTGAGGGCCCAGCCCGCCCGACCAGGCCCTTTGGTTGGGCCCTGGCCGCCTGTCGTAGAGCCTACCCCAAGGCTTGCCGTAAACTTACCCTTTGGTTCTACTCCTACGCTTACCATCGGCTTACCCGACCCGCCCCGACGGACCCCGATCCGCCCTGGCAGGCCCGCCCGAGGGCCCCTGAGAAGGCTCGACCCGCCCCGAGGGGCCCCGATGAGGTGTGAAGAAGTCGGAGGAGGAGGAGGAGGAGGAGGAGGAGGAGGAGGAGGAGGAGGAGGAGGAGAAGGATGAGGCTGGGCAAGTAGGTAGGAGGAAGAGGAGACGGAGGAGGCAGGACAAGGACGTAGGAGGAGGACGAGGAGGAGGAGGAGGAGAAAGATGAGGAGGAGGGGAGGAACAATAGTCAGGAGGAGGAGGAGGAAGTAGGAGGAGGAGGAGGTAGGAGGAGGGAGGCAGGAGGTAGGAGGATAGGCAGAATGTTGGAACTAATGACGGAGGATGGTGGGTTTCAAATCGCAGGCGATTTCTCCTGAAGACTGTTGGAGCTCCTCCTCTCGTACTTGTTCGTTGTGGTTATCGATGTTCACCCTCTTGCTCCTCGTCCTCCTGCTCCTCTTCCTTTTCCTCCTCGTCCTCCTCCTCCTCCTCCTCCTCTCCCTCCTCCTCCTCCTAAATTCCTCCTCCACCTCCACTTCCTCCTCCTCTTCCTCCTCCTCTTCGGTTTATGAGACACTCCAGATTTCATCATTTACCATGTACATCATTTTTGCGAAACGGCTACAACTGCAGCCAACACGAGAGGTTTGCCACAAGGCTACGTATGAAGGCCAGCTTTCTTCAAGATGGTATTGTCTGGTTGCTTGACCCTGTATGGCAAAAGTGTGTTGATGACGGTTTGGTTGTTGCATTTGTGGATACGAAGTATTGTGGGCAACGCTCCCACATGGTGCAGCTTTTGCAACACCAAATTCTAGACGCTTCGCGTATCCCCACCAGTCCGTAGCCTTGGCTCAAGCCGTCTGGTGTGCCTGCCCTCTCCTGGGCAGTCTCCCGCCGCTCAAGGGGGCGCCCGGACGCTGCGGCGCTCCCCCCGCCCCAGGACCGCGCCGTACTCCACTCGCGGCGACATCCCTTGCGGCCAACAGCGCCGGCAGCGCCGGCAGCCCAGACGATGTTTGATCCGCCCGATGGAAGGGAAGACGGTATAGATTGTGCAGTGCATGGCTCGGGAGACCAACCACTGCTATCGATCGAGCCACTGTCCCCCCACATGGAGCAACCCTCACCCACAGGCGTGGCAGAGACAGCGTCGATGGCAAATCAGGGAAAGCTTCCTCCTCGCCCACTGGAGGGAGACTCCCAGCTACTGGGAGATGGAACCCTCCCGGATCTTGCGACGAATTCAGCCCAAATCCCAGTCCCCCCGACGCCTCCCCCCTCCCCACGAAGGGGGACAGGCAGTCCACTCGGGGCCCGAACTATAGGTGCTGCCCAGTCTTCCGCGGCTGGAAATGAGGCCCTAGGACGTGCCCGCGGGGCGGTGGTGGAAGGATATTCAGACGAAGATCGCGCTGTGTACAGAGAGGGAGGCGACGCATTCCCCCCGCCTGTGGTGACAGGAGACCCTCCACAAGCCCACGCGGAGACAGCCATCCCGGATAACCCGACCTGCCCAACGCGCACGCACATCGCCGACCCCTCCCTCTCCTCCTTCAGCGTACCAGGTCTTGCGGCTATCGGCTGCGCCTCCTCCTCTCCTCTTCCTCCTACCGCGCAGGGCACTCTCACAGCGTCACCCGCGGCTGGAAGCAAGACCCAGGGACTTGCCCGCGGGGCCGCGGTGGAAGGATTACCAGACGTTGATCTGGCTGTATCCAGAGAGAGAGAGAGGCAACACATTCCCCCCGCCAGTGGTGACAGAAGGCCCTCCACATGCCCACGCGGAAAGAACAATCCCAGATGACCCGACTGGCCCCATGAGAGCACGCGCCGCCGATCCCTCCCTCGCCTCCTTCTATTTACCAGATCTTGCGGCTATCGGCTGCGCCTCCTCCTCTCCTCCTCCTCCTAGTGCGCGGGGCATTCTTACATCTTCCCTTGCGGCGGGAAGCGATGCCCTGGGA